AAACTGTATAGCTAAATAATCTTAGAATACACTGATAAAATTGTTAAGTCAACTTCTCTCTAATGGACATAATACTGCAATGTATTTTTGAAATTGTCAATACAGAATTACATATTATCGTAAATTAATATAAAAGAAAAGGTTAACTGTTGCTGGAATTCACGCAGGTTTTTTTGGTGCAACAGGTTTTTATCGAATAATAATGAGAGGCTATCGTTCATGTACAATGCAGTGTATAAGTTAATTACAAGTAGCAATCAATTTAAAAAAAAAACATATACATACACTGCGGTCAATGACTCTGTAGCAAAGTTCTCAAACAATTCTGTAATCATTGGAGAAGTTGGTGAAAAGGTCGAAATGAGCCTTACCTTGTCGATGTTACTCACTAAAGTTACGCAGAACCTCTGCTTTTCGCGAGGCCTTTGTTCGAAAATCACTACAGTCTTTCCAGCATACAGTATTCACTCACGTTCATTGCTCGCCATTAGGGAATCAACACTGGAATGAACGGGAAGTTGGAAGCAACTGATTGTACCTATGTGTCGCGTATGTATCGTATATGAGTCAGAACACATTGTTGCCACTGTTGCCGAATTAACCAATCAAATTCGAATGTGATAGGACTTCAATGTCATATGGTAAAATTTTCCCGCCATTACTATATCTTTTAGGAATAGCTTTTGTTCGATTAAGAGAGTACCAAGAAAGTTTGTGCCACTTTGTATTTACGAAACATGTAACATAATGTTGACAAGACCTTGAAAAGAAGTTGAAACATATATTTTACTATCGAAAACAAAAATGTTCATCGAAAATGTGTAGAAATGTTATTAGGTCGTGAGAAATAGATAATAAAAACCGAAAGCAACTATTTTTCTCAATAAATGATTAATTTGTGCATTTTGTGTATTATTTACCTCTATCGATTGAAACGGTATGATTTTTCGATGTACATATACATACATATAGTGAAATGTAAGTACATATTACATGCATGTTAAAAGAAAAGTCATGTACATAAAGTACATACTCGTCTATCATTTTAAATGCATTACCATTTTAAAGCACCTCCTGCATTGGAAAAAATGTATATTATTGTAATATTAAGAGAATCCACATACTCAATTTAGCTAATGTTTTATTAATTCGATGCTTTAACCTAAATTGTAACGAAACAATCTTACCCATTTTGCTTATTAGACGATTGAAGCATCAAGTCCGGTATGGTCTAGTGGCTAGGATACCTGGCTCTCACCCAGGAGGCTCGGGTTCGATTCCCGGTACCGGAAATATTTTTTATTTTTAACGAAAGCAATTTTGACAATTTATCTGTTATATTCGGAGCATCTCTCACAGATCCGGTATGGTCTAGTGGCTAGGATACCTGGCTCTCACCCAGGAGGCTCGGGTTCGATTCCCGGTACCGGAATCCTTTTTTTTTTTTGCTATCTGTTATCGTTAACAATAATGTATTGTGTTTATATTTAAATCATTCATATTATATAATGCACCAAAAAATATTTTCAATGTATAATATGAACATGGAATTGGATCACATATTATTTATACATATTGCAATCGTATATTTCTTACATAAAAGTAAGTAAACAATGTTGCACGATAAAGTTACACAATAAATGTTTGTAAATAATTATAATAATTATGATTGTATTATAATATATATAATTATATTATAATAATTAATAATTATATGTAAATAGTGGAATACGAAGGTTCCTCTTTTTTAAATCGGTGTGGTGATTAGAATTCGATTAGAACCTTAACCAAAAAATAGACCGGTCGAATATCTTCTTTTAAATTCGTCAACCACCTGCGAAAAAGTTGTTTTACGAAGTTTCTAGCAACTATTCACGTTACATTTTACTGTGGGCTGTTTCATAAATTGTATTTACTTATCCTCTCATTTCATGCGTGCAGCATGTATTTTCGATTATTTTCGAATAAAACAGTTCTTATAGATTGTAACACAACACTTATTTTTTTATTTTTACGTGCAGAACGAACCCCGCGTAGATCTCATAACACGGTAAACAAAATTTTAATTGAAGCAAATAGGTTAATTGATATATATATTATTATAATTATTATATATATATATAATATATAATATAATATATATATATATTATAGATATATATATTATATTAATTGATATATAATAGGTTAATTGCTGCGCGTGGATACGCAGCAGTTCTGTCAAACGTCATTCGACCGTGATTATAATTTTCGGTAGAAAGACGATCGGGAAAAGGATCGTTAAAAGGTGGTAAAATAAAATTACTGCGATGGCCGGGAATCGAACCCGGATCAACTGCTTGGAAGGCAACTATGCTGACCATTACACCACCATCGCAGTTTGATTCCACTGATTTAAAATGGGCACACAAGAACAACGTGGACTATTTCTGTTATAAATTCATGCGTTCGCACAAGGAAAAATAAAAACAAAAAAAAACCACTGCGATGGCCGGGAATCGAACCCGGATCAACTGCTTGGAAGGCAACTATGCTGACCATTACACCACCATCGCAGCTGAAAGTTGCTCCATTAGAACGAGTGGTGAGGCCACCACGCTGTCAGAAATAATGTTCTACGAGCAGAATTTCATTCGCGATAGTTAATTAAAAGTTAATTTAATGCGCGAGGCATTGTTGCACCTGTTTGCCAATTAAGTGGCATTAGTCCTTACAAAACGACGCGTTTTCTTCCTTAAACCTTCGCGCAAACTTTGCTTTATCCCTACAAATGAAAAAACTTTAAACCCGCTATTGGCCAGTGCGTTAATTACCTTTGGTTACACGAGTGCAGCGATTCATTAGACGTTCCTCCTTCAAAGTTTAAATTCTCGTTCGTTTGTTTTTGTTTTAATAAATGTACGCGTTTTTAGTACTTATATGTCGGAAAACACATATTAAATTAAATTGTTCAACACTTGATTGAGAATCAATCAAATTTTCATTTTCCCTCCATAAGTGTGAACAGTACAATAAAGCAGATACAGAGGGTATCAAATCCAAGAGAAAATACAATGGTTTTTTTACATCGTTAATTTTCTTTACGCACAAATTTTCAATAATTTAAATTATCTTCATAATTTATATTTCAAATCTGCAATAATTTGTGAATTATATTTATA